GTAATTTTATTTACAGTACGAGGGAGTCAAGTTCATGTGGGACGCTTGCTTCGAGAGTTTGTCGGAGATAGAGGCGGGCAGGCCGGGCGGGGGGTGCATACTCGCTCACTGTATGGGGCTCGGGAAGACATTGCAAGTCTTGGCACTGTTACATACGGTAAGTAAGCTCCTACTTTTATTTTAACTAACGTAATTTTGATAATTTATCGTTTATATAAGTTACTAAATGGGCGGTTCATTGTGCTAGTGTATATATCATTCGAATTTAAATAGTTTTGGAAGGCATGGACCATAAAGTATAAGTTTTTACTAATAGAATAAGTGTTTGAAATACGAAATGAGATGATTGTGATGTATATTGTCTTCAACAAGACTTTTAAAAGTTTTGCAAATTACATTGCGCTAACTTTGCGCAAAATAATATAGGTTTGCGCAACTTTGCAATATATTTAACTTATTCTTTTTTAGGTATTAACTCACCCTGGAGTGAAAATGCAACGTGTTCTCGTGTGCTGCCCTCTATCAACTGTTCTCAACTGGGTCGACGAGATACACAAATGGATTGGACCTGTTACTAATCAGATAAAAGTAAGTACTACAATTTGTTATAGTTTTAAGTCCAATTTTATACAACCTTGTTTTGTATAATGAAATGTAAACAGATTTCTCTTGTTTCAAGCAACGTAAAATAAAAAGGAAACTGCAGGTATTACATTCATAATTTTTAACTTAAATAAATGCATAAGTGAGTCGTTCGTATGAGTGTTTGAGACCACTGTTTATGAGTTATTTAGTATCAAAATCATTGTATAATATTAGTTTAATATAAGAGAAATAAATAAGTAAAATAAAAACCATTGTCACAGGTATTTGAACTCTCAAAGCTAAAGAAAACGTACGAACGAGCGTACCAACTGGAAGACTGGTACAATGGTGGCGGAATATTCATCATAGGGTATGAACTCTTCAGGAGTTTGACAACCCTGGATCCGTTCCTTGATGACGTACGACCGACTATCATAAACAAAATACGCACAGCCCTACTGGACCCAGGTCCGGATATTATTGTCTGTGATGAAGGACATCTACTAAAGAACGATTGCTCAGTTCTTGCCGTCGCCATGAGCAGAGTAGCCACAAAAAGGAGAATTATCCTGACTGGAACACCAATGCAGAATAATCTTAGAGAGTATTACTGCATGGTCAACTTTGTTAAGCCTAATTTACTTGGTACTTATGCTGAGTATTCTAATCGGTGAGTACCTTATTTTTGTAATCAATATTAACCTAATATCAACAGTTATAAGTCTTAATATAATTGAAAATCAATTCTATTCCTTCTGCATAGGTTCGAAAATCCAATAATGAACGGCCAGCACCGAGATTCAAGTGATGAAGACATCAAGTTGATGAAGGCTCGCACTCATATTTTACACAAAGTATTAGAAGGGTGTCTGCAAAGGCAGGAGGCTTCAGTACTCTACCCGTACTTGCCAAAGAAACATGAGTACACAGTATTTATAACTCTAACACAGTGTCAATGGGACTTGTACAAACACTACTTGGATAGTTACGCGAAACAATCTAAACAGAGCATATTAAAAGACTTCCATATACTACAGAAGATATGGTCGCATCCACAAGTGCTTCATAACTTCCAGACTAAAGCCCGCGATCGGGCAGAGGCTAATAAGTTGTTAAAAGGTAATTATATATTATTTATGAACGATATGATATGATAGATATCAATGTAACATCCACTTTTCACTATTTATGTTATGAGTCCCATGTAATAGGGGTTGAGGCGATTGCAATATACCGGGCACAATTCCAGACTGTGCTACCACTGAAATTTCTTGTTTTTAGAAAACCTAGTAATACTTTGCCCGACCCGGGAATCGAACCCGAGACCCCTTGCCCGGCCAGTCGCACTTGCGACCACTCGGCGAACGATGCAGTCATTAGTTGTACATAATTCATAGGGAAATGTCGTTGTTCTTAAATCCTATAAAGTTGTTGTTATAAATATGTCTCTATGACGTGATCTTAGGTTCGACTCATGAGTTTGCCAATAATTTCGATGCTATGAATAACTTATCCGCAGATTGTTTTTGGCAAACAGAACTTAACTTTAAAGCTATTAGCATGAAACTTCTTTTACAGTTGAAAAGTTAGAAGATGACCTAGCAACGGAGGACGTGGAGGATATAAAGCCGAATGTATCAGACGACCTGTGGTGGCTGGACTATCTGGACGGTGGCAACATGCTGGAGACGCTCGACAGCTCCAACAAATTCGTCGTTGTCTTCAGACTGCTCGACGAGTGTATTGCACTTGGTGATAAAGTGTGAGTCCCACTTATGTACACATAGTCTCACTATGAACTCAGTTTTTTAGTCTCATAAAGACTGTCATCAACACATGGTGTTTTTCTCAAACGCAGTTCTTTTTTTCATGCCTCACGGTCGCTCACTAGCACAAGTCTTGCATTTAGACTCAGTCTCTCGCTAACAATATAGTCTCTCGACAACACAAATAAGTGTTTACGCCGTATCCCGTTGGGGGTACGGTCTTTACATAAAGTACTTCTTTAGCTTTAATTACATTCATGGAGCTATATATGTTTAAAAATATAGCATTCTGATTCTTCATTAATCCTGTATTTTCTAGGCTAATATTCTCCACGTCGCTATTCTGTCTGGACGCGCTAGAATATTTCCTAAAAAAGATGAAGAACTGGTCGCTAGGCAACGAGTACTTCAGGTTGGATGGTTCAGTACCGCCTGAAGTACGACAGAAGTGGTGCCGGGAGTTCAACGCCGACAGTAATACTAAGACTAAGTGAGTTTGTATCCAATTCTTATCTTATTAGACATATGGCATTCAGTCCGACTAATGTACCTTACTCTTGTTTGCATTAAAGAGTAAATAAAAAACATACCGGCGGAATTGAGAACCTTCTCCTTCTTAGGAAGTCGGTTAATAAATTAGTGTCGTTTTTCGCTATGATGTTAACGTCTTATTAGTATATACTACGAACTTTTTTAGCTATTCCATTGAAATACCATCACTCCTTGAACTTTAATCATATAACTATCTATCAGTATTTCTTAAGTTTTTATAGTTTTAACACAATTTTAGAATATACTGTATTTTGGTAAAATCTGTAAAAAGTGTCTATTAACTAATTTCTCCGAAATGTATCTTATTTGTATAATTTTCCAATTAATTTCTCCGAAATGTCTCTTATTTGTATAATTTTCCAATCTAGATTATTCTTGGTATCGACCCGAGCGGGTTGCCTAGGCTTGAACATGACGGCTGCCAACCGCGTAATCATCATGGACACTTCATGGAACCCTGCGCATGATATACAGAGCATCTTCAGAGTATACCGGTTTGGACAGAAGAAGGACTGCTACATATACCGGCTGGTCGCAATGGTAAGCCAAAGTTCATTTAAAAATCTGAAAGTATGAATAAGACAGTATTTTTGCTTGCGATTACTCAACTTAAACTGTAAGCACACAAGTTTCATAAAACTTCTTAGAATCTCTTTAGATAAGAACTGGCTAGCCTAATATCATACCAGGCTAATGCGCACTGAAGGACACAAACTCGCATTTGTGCAAATGACAATGACCAATGTATGGAGCGTGGTACCTTTTCATTTTTTCGTGACAGTTGATCAGGTGAGGCCACGGAATCAGAACAGAATTTCAGACAGAACAGATTTCGCTTGATTGGCTAGCCTCTTCACTTTATATGTATACGGTTTCTGGCCTATGACAGATTTTCATGACCAATTTCCTCCCAGTCGAAAACCCGCAAGATACTTCACTGAGGCCTATCACGAAATGCTATGTTTGTCAACTGCGACGTCGGTAGCGGATTGAGTAGCGGCAGTCGTCAAAACAACATTTTTCTGCCGATTTCTCCCGATTCACTCCCGATTAGTAACTAATGTAACTACAGTTAAAACTAATCTACAGCTAGCATAACATTCTGTACAAAGATATCGTCATTCACTCACAAAGTAATGGATTATATTTCGACTGATCTGTGATCACACAAAAATTAAAAAAAAATGCGCTCATTTGACGTTGTAGTCTATCACTTTACATAGTCGACAGTTTCCTTTCTACAAAAGATAACTATAAAGTATATTAGTTGCTAATTAGGAAAAAACGATTAGAAAAATAGTACCAACTTTGTTACGTGTTTGCGTGGCTGCCACTACTCGACCCACCACTGGTACCGCAGCTGACGCCCACGAAGCTTCATGACACAACTCTTTGACGAATCTCACAAGTTATTGACTGAGAGAAAATAGCTCATAAAAATTTGTGCATGGCATACAATCCATATGGTGGTGTATTATGGTATAGATATATATATGTAGATAGACAATTTCGTTCAGGCTGAAAAAAGAAAGGCACCAAATTTAGGCAATGCAATTTGGTCATTATATGAAAAGCTATTTGACTCCCTTATGATAACTATAAAAACCAACAACTCGTTTTCGTCCACTAGAGGTATTTATGTGATAAAAAGATAAATAACTGAATAATAATTTTGTCCCAGGGTACAATGGAGCAGAAGATATACGAGCGCTCTGTAACAAAGCAGGCCGTCGCCTGCCGCGTCGTCGACGAGCAACAGATTGACAGACACTATAACAGTGCGGAACTCACTGAGTTATACATGTAAGTACCGACCTTATGACTTATACAATAAGAGTTAATACACTTCTGGACACATCTATTGGCCCACCTTAGAGTTTAGGTTTCTATGGCCCCTACCGAAATATGATTGCTAGATTGAACAAACACTGTTGATGCAGTTTTAAACATGATACATTTTACCATCTTTTTCGATCGTATTGTTTTAACTTTGAATTCAGAATACCATACGCCTAACAAATCAGATATGCGCCTTGTTAAAGGCGCATTTTTTAATAAAAAAACATGTTATATCAAATAAAGGTTTAATTTAATAACGCGTGTTGTCTCCATGGGCATCTACCACAGCTCTCATACGATTAGGCATAGAGTTTATCAACCGCTCTATGAAATTTTGAGGGATCACCTCCCATTCCTCTTCTATAGCAGTTTTCAACTCCTGCATCGTCTGGGCAACTGACTAACCAGCCCTAAAACGTCTTTTTAGCTCGTCCCACATGTGCTCAATGGGGTTCATGTCTGGGCTTCTGGCTGGCCAGTTCATAATTGTGATGTTCACATCCCGAAGATATTCCCTGACGATGCCTGCCGCATGGGTTCTTGCATTATCAAGCATAAAAAGGAAATTTGGGCCCACATAGGTCGCGTAGTCCGCGTATGGTATCACGTGAGGTTCTAAATACTATCTCTTTAGATAGCACGATACTTAACCCTTTGAGTACCGTAGACACAATTAAAGAACAATAGGTTGCGCTCACCGGTGTCCTCGCGGTGTTTGACAGTTTAAGTACAAATTAACATCGCAACACAATTTCAGTATTCGGGTGATAGTTGCGTAGGGACTGTGACGGGTTAGTGATGTAGACATACGTGTGTTAGGTACGACGAGGCGGGCGCGTGCGTGGCGGGCGGCGTGGCGGCCGGCGTGCGCGACGTGGCGCTACTGCGCGTGGCGCGCGACGCCGTCTGCGCGCCGCGCTCGCTGCACGCGCCGCGCTCGCTGCACGCGCCGCGCTCGCTGCACGCGCCGCGCACGCTGCACGCCGTGCACGCCGTGCACGAGCACGACTCGCTGCTGCGCGGCGAGCACGAGCAGGCGCTGCCCGAGCACGAGCGGAACGCTGTCTGGATGCAGTTCCAGCAGGAACAACACCACAAACGTACGCCAACTTACATACGTCATTAATACTTCCCCATCCCCAATATCCAAACCCCCTAAATTTTGGCAAAATATTTGTACCTTTTCTGATGTTGTGTATGTTTATTTTTCACATATTCATTACAACAATGTAATAAAGGTATTTACAAAATTCAATTCAAGGATTTTTCTGCAACATAGATATTGGACATTAAAATGTTCAAAATGACTGAACTAATATGTTAATAATCAATAATTCAAACTATTATAACACTATTAATCAAACTTTCACAGATTTGGAAGGCGAAGTAGATAGCAAACAATCAAAGATATCGTTAAAACGTATTACAAACGCAGAAACACAGAAACAGACGACTGAAGTTAAAATTGAACCAAAACAGGAGGACTTCGTCCCCGATGAACCTAAAACTAAGAAGGGAAAAAAGCCGATCGCCGCAAACATAAAGAACAATAGTAAGAAAAATTCCCCTAAACCAAGCACCAGTAAACAACCCGAGGAACCACCACCTCCACCTCCACCTCCACCCTCCCAACCCTCCACCTCCTCTACCGCAACCCCAGAGGACATCGCCGAGGAAATCCTCGTGGACCAGATCACGGACATACTCCTCAAATACAATTTCCAAAACCGAAAACGGAAACATGTCGATATTGTACACGTAGTTATGAAAGTTAGAAAGATTGTACAGAAAGGTTATTTGGAGGAGAAAGACTGGGAGGATGATATGACGGCCAATATAGCGCAGGTGTTGCTGAGGCAAGATACGTCACTGCCCCAAGTCGGCGATATTGTATGCGAGTCCATCAACAACTCCCTAGCGCCCAACGCCGTGCTCGAAGACAATGAAGAAAAGAAAGAGGCAATACATAAAACAACAAATCCAAATGAACGAATAAAAAGAAGAGCAGCCATTGCAGCCGAAAAAAGTATCGATTCACTATCAGAAGACGTCATAAGCTTAGACGATGATGAATGGACCGCTGATACAGACTTTATTCCAGATTATCTGGAAAAACCACCAAGTTCTAGTAAAGGTAAGAAGAAGGTTAGAAATCCCACAAAAGTTGTAGACATGAATGAAGATACTATGAGTGCTGATGAACAACCAGAAGAAACACACACAGATACTATGGAATCTGCGATTAAATTATTCAAGACAAATGATAAACCTAAACCACCAGAACCAGAGCCAAAAGTGGTTCCAAAAAAACCCGTTAGCGTTAAGAAGCCAAGGTCAGCAAAAACTAAACCGCAGCCGGCAGAAATCGAACCGTGTCAGGTAGAAACTCAACCGTGCGCGGTAGTAACCCAACCGCAACCAGCAGAAACGCAACCGTGGTCCACAGACACCCAATCGCACCTAGTAGAAATTAGGTCGCGGCCGGTTAAAATTGGACCGCGTTCGGTAGAAACCAAACCGCGGCCGGCTCTAACCAAAGCGCGGCCTGTAGAAACTAAAGTGCGGCTGGTAGAAACAAAAGTGCAGCCGGTAGAAACTAAAGTGCGGCCGGTAGAAACCAAAGCGCGGTCGGTAGAAACCAAAGCGCGGTCGGTAGAAACTAAAGTGCGGCCGGTAGAAACCAAACCGCGGCCGGCCAAGCCACCTAGGCAGCCTGAGAACCACGTAACAGTTACGGAACCAATGCAGAGCAGTATTACATTGAGTGACGACGACGAGGACATCCTGGTGAACACTTCACCTGCTTCTTATAATACAAAAGACAAAACACCTACTCCTGGAAATCCAGATAAAGATAAAAATGTCCTCGATAGCGATGATGAGATAGTGCCTTTACCGATGTCGTTGTTGAAGAACCAGAATTTCATAAACATCGTTGCCCACACGTATTTAGTTGGCAACCCTATGTTAGATGAAGACGCGGCCACTCTGGCTGCCCAGTATAGCACGCTGAAGGCTTTCAATGAGGCCGAGCAGACCGGGAAACTCGTGTGCAGCGGACCTATTTACGATATAGCTGTTAAGGTAATATTTCATTGTTAATGTTTAAATTATGTAATGTTGACTGCCTCGTTGGCTGAGTGGTCGCAAGTGCGACTGCCCGTAAGGGGTCTTGGGCAAAGTAATACTGGGTTTTTTTTCAAAAACCTTCAGTAGTAGCGCGGAGTCTGGAATTGTGCCCGGTATATGGCAATAGGCTCACCCCCTATTACATGGGACTCATAACATAAATAGTAAAAAGTGGGTGTTATATTGTACAGTGGCATTTGTACACCTCTGCTTACCTCTTTGGGGATAAAAGGCGTGATGTTATGTTATGTATGTTTAAAATGCTCTACCTCAACCGTTTAATACATTATAAGTATCATTTAATCCTCTTTTTGTACTAATTGACACTGTGCCCTCATTTGTAGCACTTTTTACGTTGTAACGAAACTTTATATTTTGAACAGGTCATAGGCAAAGACGTAATGAAGAAGATGAATAGCGTTAACCCTACGGCTGCGTCTGCTTCTGCTGACGATGCGGCCACCAGTTTACAAATGAAGGACCAGATGATAACTACACAGAAGACATTTGAAGAAACTGCAAAAAAATCCAAAGCTAAGGGCACAATCCTCAGAGAGCAACTAATTAAAGACAAGTTAAGCGCGCACATACACGGCGCGAAACAGAGAGTCGACACACCGCCGCCTAGTGCCACCTCCTCCATTGTACCTGTTGGACTGTAAGTACTCCTTGCCACTAAATTTTTGTAATACACTAAATTTTATGACTAATTTCGCATACATTTCGTGTTTAGTATCAGAACAACGGACCGGTTGTCCCGTGTAGAGTGTATCCTGCCCGACAATGACGACATCATCATCAGCGACGTGCACTCCGCCGCCCCCGCCCCGCCGACACCCACTCTACCAGAACCCAACGAGACCAATCACAACAGGCCCATTATCATAAACACTTTATTAAGCAAACAGGAAACGACTCCGACCAATGTATATGTCAGAGCTATGCCAACACAAACAGGGATCCCAACTAATATAATTTTCAAACCTATCCGCAATTATAAAACCAACCAACCAACGAACAAACCGATTGTCACTGACAGTAGTAACTTGACTCCAGTGAAGCCTCCGCCTCTGGCCAGTGTCCCGGCCCCCGCCCCCGCCAGCACCATCTGCCTGGACAGTGACGAGGAGGACGCGCCCGCGCCGGTGCCGGTGTCGCTCACTAGTGCCCTCGCTCCGGGCCTCCAGCTCCCGTTACCGAATTTGGCAAACCAAGTACTAGACAACTGTACTGCCACAGCTACACAGAAGCTAGTGTTACGGCAATTTGCCACCGGGGGCGGCACTCAATCTAAATATGTTCTGATACCCAGCGATAAACTTCCCTTGCTAAAGCTACCTTCGACGCAGACGCCGGTCTCGACCGCACCCAAACCTCCGCCGCTACATCCGTTTACGACACCGAATAATTTAAAAAATACGATAGTTGAATCCATCAATCAAACTAATAAAACTTTTAAAGCTGGTGATGTACTCAGACTAACGAAAGATGGAAAAATTGAACTGATAAACAATAAAAAAACAGTGGACTCGGCTCATTCCAGCAAACCGCAAGCTGCAGTTTCGACAAATAGTAATTCTGGGATTGTAGACTTAACTGAACTAGCGATCGCTAATGGTGAAGTACTGAAAAAGCAACAATCGTCCAATATTGAAAAAAATACAAGTGCGAATAAAGTGGAAGTGCGGAAAGCGCGGCAGGTGAGTGTAGCCAGCAGTACCAGCAGTACGAGTAGTTCTGGCCGGGCGTCCAGTCCTGACAACCCGCTGTCCATACTGAAGGATGTAGTGCAAATTAAAGCGGCAGACTATAATAAAACTGGCTCTGACAAAGGTAATCAGCGCATCGCTAACATCAGTCAAGCCGCCGCCAGCACCTCCAAAGGGTTTCTCAAGTTAACCAAAGTACCGAAAGACCAAGTACCTAAACACATAGACGACGCTGTGGCGAAAGAGATAAGGAAAAATGCTTTAATTAAGAAATTGAGTTCTACAAATCAGCCGAAAACTAAGGAACAACAGAATCCAATTAGTTCAACGATAACGAATAGTTATAGCAAAGTAACGAGGGGATCAGTTAGTAAAAAAGTTACTTCTAAACTACTGAACGATAGTAAATCCAGTAGCATATTAAAAGCTGAAACTGTAGATTTAACGTAAGTATATAAATATTTAATGTATAGTTATAATATTTAGTACGTGACGCCATTTTAAATAAGTATTTAATTACAGTAACTTGCCACGGCTTGGAACTGCCGTGAAATCGAAGAACGATAGTATAAAGAGACAGTCTACTACAGACACTACATCTGCTAAAAAGAAAAAATCTGAACGTAAGTATTCATTTTTTTGTAAGAGTGAGAGTCTAACACTCTCTCTTGCCCCGTCCGGGCGGGAGAAGTCATTGGATGATTTTCTACCACAAAAAAAGTATTCATTTTTTTAATGACTGAGACATCGTGCAGTCAAAACACATGGTTTTTATACGAAAAAATTCAGTTATAGCGGCATATTATGTAGTGACATGTCGAATCTGACTTCTTTTCTAAAATGTTTGCACCACAAGTTCCGTAATGCCTTTAAGTTAGTCAAACACTACTATTATAGACCATTGAGGCAGAAAACTTACTACACCGATTAAAAAATTAATTGCTTAACATTTTTTCTCTATTCGATCACATTATTATCTTTACAACAGTGACCCAATGACTTGGGGATTTCACCCGTTTACTACATTCCACTATAAATATATAACTACCAACAAAACAAATAAAAAATGATACTTTTTTACAGCAATGACGCTAAAGGACTTCGATTTGGACGACATAGACGACATTATTGAATTGGATTAGCATTTGCTTATTATAGTTTCGGAATGATTTGGGTTCCAATTTATAGTAGCCCTCTGTTCATTTCGACACAAAGTGAACATTTCTACGATGTCATAACTATACATTTATACAAACTTTTTGACACAGAGCATCATATCATTTACATTTTTTTATTACTTGTTTAATAAATGACGGTTTTGATTACCCTGGATACATAAGATGTATGTCATGTCATAAAATTAATAAGTATTTCATTAAATTAATGTAAATACCGCTTTAAGAACCTCTTCGTGATTCTAGGATTTTGTGACTGTAAAATGAACAGTTTAAAAATAGTCCTTATGGCAGCCTGACATAATAATTTGATTATGTCGGTCTTATATTCAGATGTAATAGCGACATAACAAATTAATATCATAATTTAATAATATCATCTTGTTATTAATTACAAACGGACAAGAATATGAAAGGCAGTGAGTTTTTTTATAAATTATTCTATAATCAAGTTAATAGTCATTTTAAACACCAGAGATTACGTACTAATCTTAATTAAACGAAATTTCTGGTAGTCTAAGATCCCGTTATAGAACGACCTTCACCGAGATGCTTATTTAATGAAACGTATTTTATATTTAATTTAATATGTCAATAAATATAATCCATATGGGTTGCCTAGCAAATTTCAGTCCAGAGTATGTTTAATTAATAATTAAAAAAAAATATTTTTTTAAACATTTCACCGGTATGATTATTAGATAAATTCTATACCAATCGAAAGTATGAAGCCCATAGAATACACAAACGTTAGGTTGCCTATTCTTTTCCGGTCACAACTATCGGGTTGCCAGGTATAAACAGGTAAATCTGTACTAGCATTTTGCAACGTTCTGTTTATTGGATGAAATTTAAATCAAATTAAAGATTATTTTATTCTGAACACGGTGGTATAGGGTTGCCAGCGAAAAATAAGTCCAGAATTGCGGTTGTCGAATTTTAAAAAGTTAAATATTGCTCCGAGTGAATGTGTGCGACTGAGAGGTCCCAACCAACCATCCCATGCGATAGAAGAGGACACAGCATAGCAGCTGTGTAAAGTCCGGCCATTTAAAGAAAGAGAGTGCGCATGCTCTTTGGGCTTGGAAAAGAAAAGGATAGCGATAGACTATGCATCATTTTGGAGTAGTTTATTATTAAAATAGAGAAAAAGTTATTTATTAATTTTTTTTATCAATTAATTATTTATGTGTATATTTTTTATGTGACACTGAAGTATATATACATCTTTAGTAAAAAAGAAGGTTATAGTGATACATATATAATACTACTCTAATAATTAAAAATATTGATTGAAAAATATAAGAAGAGACAATAAAAAAAAACAAAAATTAAAAAATTACTTCTATTTATTGTAAAAAATTAAAAATACATTTTTTTTTAAATTATTCGGAATCCGAGTCATTGGACTCCATCGGACTACGATCTTCAACTTCTGAATCTTCTTCGTCATTACTCTCTGTTTCACCTTTTTCGACAATGTCTTCTATTTTTAAAGGTGTATGATCCCCAATGAATCCTACTGGTTTTAAATATTCATCTAAGTACCATCCGCAGTTCTCAGGCTCAAGTTTCACGCATATTGGTTCCGTTGCATTAAGCCACATGGAATTTACGAAAATAGTTCGTAAAATTTTCTGAGTTAATGATATCCAGCATGGTGGTATGGAGTTGGAGTCGAAGCCTTTTATTTTTTTTAAAAAGTACTCGCTGTCTTCTTTTGCAGAATAATTTTTCATAAAAATACGATGTCTCGCATCATTCACACTGGTGCAGTTCCTGATACCGTACATAATAGCCGTAAATTCTTGAACGGTCTTCATTTTTTCAGTATTGAAAATATCAGCAGCATCCGTTAATGATGCAAAAACTGTTTGATATTTTTCATTTTTTGAAAATTGCTTAAAAGGTTTTACTTTCCCTTTGTTGTAAAAGGCTGCCGTATAATCGCAACCTGTAAATGCGTGGTAGGCGGGAAGACTTTGGCATAATTTAATTCCCAACTTCAACGCTAAATCCGTGCAATTAATGCAATCAACAGTTTGATTATTAGTCTTTCTAGTTGCTGAACAGGCAAGCCAAATTTCTGATTCGATAAGTTTGTGCATATTTCCTAACAAAATTATCAACCGGACTTTACACAGCTGCTATGCTGTGTCCTCTTCTATCGCATGGGATGGTTGGTTGGGACCTCTCAGTCGCACACATTCACTCGGAGCAATATTTAACTTTTTAAAATTCGACAACCGCAATTCTGGACTTATTTTTCGCTGGCAACCCTATACCACCGTGTTCAGAATAAAATAATCTTTAATTTGATTTAAATTTCATCCAATAAACAGAACGTTGCAAAATGCTAGTACAGATTTACCTGTTTATACCTGGCAACCCGATAGTTGTGACCGGAAAAGAATAGGCAACCTAACGTTTGTGTATTCTATGGGCTTCATACTTTCGATTGGTATAGAATTTATCTAATAATCATACCGGTGAAATGTTTAAAAAAATATTTTTTTTTAATTATTAATTAAACATACTCTGGACTGAAATTTGCTAGGCAACCCATATGGATTATATTTATTGACATATTAAATTAAATATAAAATACGTTTCATTAAATAAGCATCTCGGTGAAGGTCGTTCTATAACGGGATCTTATACCATGGGTCTATCTTCTATTTTTTCTTTTCTTGCTAAATTAATATTCTTCAGTTTTCTTGTAGTCTTTTGCTAACGTGGTTTAGTATGTCTTAAAATATATCTCTAATTTAATGTGATTATAATTTAATTGACCAAGTTGTCCTTTGACTTCCGCCAAAATTGTTATTGATATTCAAAAATGATTCAAATTCAGTAGTGTAATAATCAGTGATGCTCAACTTGGCAAAATGTTGCAAATGTCTTTAGAACTAAATCTAAGTCTTTTTAATCAAAATCTTCTTGTTTTGGTGCCTTCTTCCATTCTTGTTTATCGTACTTCATGGTACCGCAAGCTATGCCACATGCCCATAGCAATTTATAGACTAGAAGACCCATAGTGTATGATCAAAATTCGTGGATTTTTCGTAATCGTGAGAGTGTAATGTCTGAATGAATTAAATGAGTATAGAGAATAAAGTTGAGAATCGCTTTTTTATTACATTGAATGATAAAATGCCAAATGCCTGCAAGGTTTTGTTAAAAATATCACAATATTTGTAAACCATCACAATTTAAAATGTTTTCCCTGACTGTGAAAAATAGCAATAATTAGTTTTAATTTACTGTTATACCTATTGTGAAGAAAACACTGCATCGAGAGTTCATGGTTCATATATGTAATTATAATAAAATAATTTTGATACATAGACAAAATAAAACAAGAAAAGTGTTGTCTTCTTTTCGTTGGACATAGACAAACTATATTAAGTAGAGTATTACTTGTGAAACAGTGAAGTGCAAGTCGGAAGTTTCAGAACTAACAGATTATAAAGTGAATGACTTTATTTCCAAACTTCTTGGACATTGAGAAGTTAAGTACACGTACGTGGCTAGATCTATGGTCTAATTGTGATAAATTTTCTTTTGTTGTTATAATTGTGTAATAATTTCAGTTTTATTTGTTTAATTATATCTAGTATTTCTCTTATAAGTTAGATTAGACAACTATTATGTAAGTATTATAGTATATAACTACATTGCTATGTTGATGTGACTCTTCATATATATAATTATATTACATAAAGTACTGAAAAATCCAGGTTAACTGAGTCATGTTCAGTTTTATTTCACGAATGTTTCCTGTAAATTTAAGAGAATATGGTTTTATTTTTAAGTAATTATGTGTGCACGGTAAAATACTGCATATGGGAAAGAAATATATATTTTGTAATTAACCTCAATGGTAAACATTGCAATATGAGGTGTTAGAGTTTACGTCACCCATTTTATTTAGTTATGATCACATATTTTTTTATTTCCTCGCAAAAGATTTGCAATGTTACGTTTTGTATGTTTAGATGTAAGCTAACGAATGAAAAGAAACAGAGTTACAGTTTCTGTTCCCTATAATATGTTAAGATGAATGGAAAATAAAAGCCAAATAATTATCGCAACTGTATATTTTCTTACTCTTACAACAAAATATATTAAACATTTATTTATTTTTTTATAATTTAGGTACCTTACACTAGCACTATTAAAGCTTCTACATAGATATAATTCCAAAAATAATTTCATAATAAACCAATAACGTAATGCCTGACCAGTCGCATATCACTTTGGAACTTAAAATTATATAAATTAATAACTTCATACACACATATAAGATCTTGAATTAACTTATAACTATAATAATTACGTTTCTCAATGTTTTACTTTACGTTTGTTCGAACAAATACCTATATTAATTAATAACACAAAGGTTGCATTGGATTTGTATAAATCGTTACATTGTACTAAATAATTTAATTGTTTGCTTGGTGAGTTTGAATTCAAGTAATGAATTTTAAGCACCAAATAAATAGCAATCTTGATATACGAGAAACATATTTGTACACAAAGACCACCAGGCACCGCATACGATGTTTTTATACAGATAAGATCTTAGGTACTATCGGCAAAGTTTACGGTAGTACCCTTCAAACAAAATCCTGAGGCGAACTCGCTATCCACTGGACGTTTTCCCCGTGGACGTTCGCGCCGAGTGCATGCGAATATCGCTTTGATGGTCGACCGCCAACTTTGTCGATTGTACATACATAGTTTTAATAGCCACAAATTGATCACCATATGAAATTCAAGTTTCATTGGCTAATCTTAACTAAAATAAACACGAAAATGTCGAAGAGATTTGAAACATACTCATAATATCGGTTCTTTTGAATATTTTCCAATAATTTATCCCTTCTTTTACTTTACATCGTTCATTTTTAAAAAACGTAGGTAATACTTTAAAAATACCAGCTTGTTTTAGCTGTCTATTGTAAAATAAAACGAAATGCACCGCTAATAAAAGAACAATAAATTTAATAATATCGAAGATAATTTTATTATTGTAAAATAACAATCAATTTTACAAACACATAGAGGTAAAATAAAGACGCCATTTTGTTTTCCTGATAGAAAACATCAATCAACAAATTTTGTATGAAGGTATTTGAATAATGATTTTCAACATTAGTTTCCACTACAAATGTATGTGAAGAAATATATAACACATCCCTAAAGGCAGGCAGGCCCTGGTAGGCAGAGAAGCAAAGTTGCATAGTGGATATACGTCCACTTTCGACCATGAGTTGACCACTTATGAGTCCCATGTAATAATTAGGAAGTGGACATGTCACTATAGGTACGTTGGGCATAATAACAGACTAAGTTATTTGCTGACAAATTGAAGAAAGAATGACAGCGAAATCATTGTAAAAGTTCTGTACAATACAATAAAAGTATACATAATAAAAACAATTTTCCTAATTTCCACGCAAACTTTGGAATGAGCTTCTAATAAATCGATAAACTTACTTATTAAAGACTTATCACATTCGAATAACAATGTACAATTCCACTCCATTATCAAGGCCTTATTCCAAAGTAAATTTTCATCTACATTTTGATATTTCTATACTACAAATGGTTCTCGAACTTTCCATAACATTGTAGTCTCAATCGTTAGTTACAAAATTCACCAAATGATATGCTTTAATAGCATACTTCCCATGTTTGTTTGAACCCTTCAAACCCTACACTTAATTTTCTATAGAATATCTAGTTCATTGAATAAAAAATTTCAACCGTCGTGGTCCGTTCGACCACTAAGCAATAAATAAACCACTATCAATGTAAGAGTAAAATGTGGCAACATTTACTTTAATACTTTTTCCAGACTTAGCTACCTCATTTAGCGACCGTAATATATAACTTTATTGCAATGCAACAAGGTACATTATTCATTAGTATCAAAATTACTTTCATTGTCTTTCGATTTTCTATTATAACAACATGTGAATAAAATACATTTTATAGTGACAACGGATTTATATCGACTACAATGCCTTTTATTTATTTTCATAAACATATATACACTATTTAGCGATGGTACTCCGGAATGAGTTTTGTTCCCAAGAACATATTACACTTAGGTACTTCTGAATCTGAACTACCCAACATATTTCTGCGTAAAACCGACTTACGCCTGAATACAGAAAAGCTACTTAATTTTTAATTGTACTTAAATATCTTGCAATCTCTGTCATTTCATAAAGAATTTGTAGTTACAGAACTATACTTAAGCGCGACTTCAAATTGAGTAGCCTTTCAGTATTCGGGCGATACCCTGATGAATGACACAAAGAAACTGCCGAATCCAAAAACCGTTCGTGATTTGCAATTTAAACTATTTCACTGGGACTTTTAGCAGCCATATAGAATACCTACAAAGCTACACAAATCCCCAGTTACATGTATAAATGCGTATAGACCAATATACAAGTTCTGTAGAGTTAGTCTCACCGCGAGTCCACGACGCTGGCGAGGCGAGACTTGTCGAAGGCGCAAATAGCGGCCAGTAAAGAGGAGCGAGCGTCGCACGGACTGGCTGCCGTCTGGGAACCTGTGGCGCTTGTGTCGTGTGCTGCGAGTAAACAGAGAAGTATGGTAAAGTAAGTAATAAATCCATCTACAACTGGAAGATATCAGCCCATCTCTAGACACAGGATGTATAAAATTTTAAAAAATCGGATATAGTCTGTACATCTAAGTGTGGGAGAGCCATGCTTCAGCACGAACGGGCCGGCTCCACTGGAGTAATACCACGGCCTCACAGAAAACCCCGTGAAACAATGCTTGCGTTGTGTTTCGTCATGTGACGGCGTCCCTCAGGGGTCAGTACTTTCAGCGACGCTCTTTTTGCTGCACATAAACGACCTGCTTAAGCCCGGTATCTTTGGGTATGCAGATGACAGCACAGTTGTTGAAAGGTATGTGTCCGGTGCGCGGACTAGCGGAACACAGATCCAGTCTTTAAGAGAATCCATGGTCGAACGTTTGAACTCGACCTTGAAGGCGGTGTCCGACTGGGGTGACACCAACTTGGTTAGGTTCAATGCTAGCAAGACCCAGGCGTGTCTATTCTCCGCTAAACGGAGTCAATTTCCGCTGACTCCTACTTTCCGGAATGTATCCGTACCGATAACCGATCGTCTTGAGCTTCTTGGTGTAACTCTGACGCCCACGCTCAACTTTGGCTCATATATAGAGTCAAAAGCGCAACTGGCTGGTAGGAAGTTGGGTGTCCTATGGAGGGTGAGACGGTACTTCACGCCGAGACAATTGCTGAGCCTGTACCAAGCACAGGTTCGGTCCTGTATGGAGTACTGCTCTCATCTTTGGGACGGCTCAGCTAAATATCAGCTGGACGCGTTAGAGCACATTGAGAGGCGTGCCAGGAGGCTCATCGACGATGATGCGCTTGTGAAGGCTCGGCTTCAAAGCCTCGAACACAGGCGTAAGGTTGCAAGCCTTTCGGTTTTCTACCGGATTCATTTCGGGGAGTGTGCGGGGGAATTGCACAACTTGATTCCCCCTAGTCCTTTCCATCATCGTACCACAAGACAATCCGCGAAGTGTCACCGATTCATGGTAGATGTTCCGCCCACATGCACGAAGCGCTTCGCTTCAAGCTTCCTTGTGCGTACTGCTAAAGAGTGGAATTCTTTGCCAGAGTCTGTTTTTCCTGAAGGGTATAACCTGGGAGTCTTCAAGGCCCGAGTGAATAGGTTGCTTATGGGACGACGTGCTCCAACGTAGACCGCATCATCGCTTACCATCAGGTGAGATAGTGGTCAAACGTCGCCCCATCAATAATAATAAAAAAAAAAAAAAAAATGTGAGTGAGGTTACCGGAGGCCCGATTACCCCCTCCCCTTCTCTAATCTCCCCAATCTCTGAATCGCCAACAATCCTGAAATTCCTAATCCCCAAAAGCCTGATAACGCACTTGTAACGCCTCTGGTGTTCCAGGGGTCCATGGGCGACGCCGATTGTTTACCATCAGGTGATCCGTCTGCTCGTTTGCCGTCTTATACCATAAAAAACCTCAATCCATTTACTTTTGGTAAAACGTTTTGAAACACAAGTTTATTATATCTGGAGGAATGTAAATAATTCTACAAAGAATATCATCATCGTGGTTTCTAAGGTGTGATATGTTGTAACAAGAGGCACAGTAATAAATGAAGTAATATTATTATGTAATGAGTACTCACAGAGGGCGGGTGGAGTAGGCGAGGAAGCTGTGCTTGCACTCTGCGACCGCACCGTTTCAGCTAGAGACGACGTCGACTTCCATAGACTCTCGCGCTTTTTCTGTAAAATAAATATTCCAATGTAAAGAGAAGGTAATGTTTAAATTAATTTCAATTTTCTATGCAAAATCAATGAAAAATGGGTCATACCGCTCTTCGCTTCTGTTTTTTGATTTCTTCTTCGGAACCGAGTATTTCTTGTATACGGACTTCTCTTCTCGCGCTTCGTACCTGAAAATAATATATCAAATGGTTAATTGCAACCAAATAAGTATAATTATGAATGAATAGAGTATTTTAATGGAAATTACGAAATATTCTACGCCAAGATGCAAAATACATACCTAATTGGAATTTTTATTACTTTGAAACATTGCTCTGAGGCCTTAGTAGGAGTTTCTTTTACGTTTCTTTTTTTTAAACATTGCCCCACTTTGCCCTTGTCCTGTGCCGTGGGTGCATTTACAAACATATAAGTTCACACACATACATGACACCTAGACCAGAAACAACAATTTGTGGATCACACAACGAGGTACTCTCTGCAGGAATCAAACCCACCACATACTGCGCGGCAGCCGCAGCAGTCCAGCAACCGCACCAGCCGTGCAGTCAATGTTTAAAGTAATCGAGACGAGACCGCGTTCGGCGCTCTGATTGCTTGGTTCATTGGAGCCCGCCAATCAGGGCGCCGAACGTGGTCTCGTTAACGAAAAATTCGATTCGACAAAAATTCACAATAAATGATTACATACCAATTTTTGTTCGCTCTTCAACCTAGCTTCCATACTACACACAGCAGTTTTCAATTCCTCCTTCAGCGCGAGTGGGAACTTCAAGTGCATGCGTGCGTCGTTCTGTGCGCCCATCGTGAGTCCATTCAGCGGCGCCCGCGCAAACAGTGGCTGCTGCAGGACGTGCTCCAGGGACGGGCCGCCGTGCTTACATGAACTACTCGATAGGCAGAGGCGGAGCACTGATTCTGGAATAGATGTGGTAAATTCTATGAGATTATAGACATTTTAGACCACATTTTTGTTTGTCAAATTTATGAGATACCTTATTAGAACATTGAATATATTCGAAGTAATTCCAGGTGGTCCTATAGATGATCTAGAACTGATGACCTCAATAAAGTTTTAAAAACCAAAACTCGTGTATTTCCCACAGGTATTTATTTTATTTCTTTATACTCAGAAAATTTACCATTTGTGGAATAAGTATGCGACTATTGTTGTACCATAAATGTGTGTGTACATATTTTTAAAATACTACTTACCTAAATCTTCATTAACACCATCAGGATAATAATCACAGTAATACTCCGTTAGTGGGGTTCCGAAGGCCATTTCATACAAAGTCCTGCCGAAGCAGTAGACGTCTATGGCCTCAGCGGTGGCTACCCGCCGTAGATGCAACAAGTGAGGTCGGTAGAGACACGGTACACCCACTAGAATATTCTCCACGTCCATTAGAAGAGCCTTCTGGTTGTCTATCGCTATGTTGCCCGGGTGGATGTGGCCTGGAAAGAAGAAAAAAATATTAAATAATTCTTACTATCCTTACTAATATTATAAATCGGAAAGTGAGTTTGTTTGTTTGTTTGTTCCGCTTTCACGCCGTAACTACTAAACCGATTGCTTTGAATTTTTGCAGACGTAAAGTTAGTCCGGATTTAATAATACGGTACTTTTTATCCCGGCAAAATTTGATATTCCCGAGGGAAAACAAAAGTATTGTTATAGATGGCGCTGTGTATATCGTTAAATGTCACATAGGCTACTTTTTATCCTTTTGTGACGCGAGCGAAGCCGCGGGTAAAAGCTAGTTATTTATAATTAAAACACTGACTTCAACCCTTCTTTTTTTTATTTTAATTAATTTAATGAATATACTAAAACTTTCTCCTAAGTATAACAAACACTTTCTGAAAATCGCTTCAAAATTGGTTCAGTCAATCGCGCACAAACATAGATACAGGACAAACTGAGAATCTCCTTTTTTTAAGTCGGTAAAAAAATATTGAGTACGTCTGAAAGAACATAATAATATAATAAGTATACGCACCATGAGGAATGCCCTTTTCATGTAAGAACTTCAACGCGTGCAGTATTTGATATCCATAATGCGCAATCTGTCCTATTGTGAACGGTTTCCTTATCCTAGGGTTGCCATACTTGGCTAAATGACTCTTATTATAGTCCGTACCATAGAGAATGTCCCTCAGACTCCCGTTTTCATGTATCCTCCTAACTACGTATGTTCCAGTTTCTAAATTATGTATAGCTAATACTTGGTCTATGTAAGGATGCTGAAACATAACAGACAATTTTTTAAAGAAATTAATTAAAACAAGGCACATTAGGTACGCAAACTGTCGAATAAATTATAATCTCCTAAATTTTAAGGAACTTCTAAGCTAAGAGAAATGATGTTTATTTACATTGGTTTCCATCAACCTATAAGTGACACCGAATGGTGCGAATAAGTGGTTGGTTAGATAAGAAATGGATTAGGGATGGTTGGAAAAAGACCATTCGATTTTCTAATTATGAATAAAACGTTATAGTTCTTATATTACTTAAATATCTTTTAACCAAAACCTAAAATGTACTCAAGTTCAATAGAAACGGAAATCTAGCAACAATAATAAATATTGACATTATACTTACAGATATATTTTGTAAGCTCTTGTAAGCGGTTTGTAAGTCTTTATCACTGAGACACCTGTCAGCACCATAGCTCTGCCACGACAGCATGCAATTTGTTCCACTCTCCGTATCCGCTACCTGGAACACCAAACATTACATTACAGTGTAAAATAATGTGAAGGTTTTTATGTCAAGACTTTTTTTTTTTAAGGGGGGAAAATCATCGAATGACTGCTCACGCCTGGGTGAGGCGGGAGGGAGTGTCAGACTCTTACTGACTAAAAACCACCCCGTTCCTTCTCCTGCACGTCGAGCCGGAGCCCCGGTTACCCGTTAGGTTCTCTTTATGTCAAGACTAGCTTCTGCCCGCGTTATTCCATACCATAACTTCATCTCGATCCCTTCAGCCATTTTGTCGTGATTAAATAACAAATATACACACACAATTTATAAATATTTTGGAATTATAATAAGTACCGTAAAACGGGGTGAATAGATCTGTATCTATAATAGTCTAACACTTATCCACCCCATTCCTGTAATGGGGTGGATAAGTGTTAGACTATTTTCCCAACATTTATTCACCCCTCGAATTCTATTCACCCTGTTTTACTGTAGTAAGTAAAGAGTAAGATTACATGACAGGGTTAAAAATATAAAACAGAATCCTTTTTCTAACTGACTGTCTTGATAATAAGGAGAAGTGGTTGCAAGCGTGACTGCTGAGTTAAGGGTGTCCGGTGCTATTCTCGGATTGAGCAAAGTACTAAACTACTAAAAATAAACACAGTACGATAATCAAACATTTTAAGATCTAAATGGTGCATGAGAATTTCATTGCGTTATAGGCAAAAAGCCCACAAACTGCCGCGCAACGTTCAGCGGGTCCGATTCCCGCACGGAGCAACTACTTGTGTGATCAAAAATTTTTGTTTTGAGCCTGTGTATTACATGTATGTGAACTTGTTTCCACAACACAGAAGAAAATCTCAATGTATGGCAAAGTTTAAAAAAAAAACTATTACTCTGAGCCAAAATCCACAAATTGTTGTTTCTGATCTGGGTGTAATGTGAACTTGTATGTTTGTAAACGCACCCACGTCACAGGAGAAAATCCATGTATAGGGCAAAGTTTAAAGAAAATCAAAGTCCCTGTGTTAGATTCGACGTCAGAAGATATCATGGTCGATTGAAAACACGCGTCATAATGGGATTTATAAAGTATTGATTACAACCATCCATAATATGATACTGTGATAAACAAATAGATCCAGTGGTCTATTACATCAGTATGAAACAGTTATTTAACTTAAAAATGTTTTTCAATGATTTGCAAAAGTTAAAACTTTTCATCTTTTCATCGGTTCTTTAAATTAAGGTTCACTTTCAGAGACCAGCGAGTCAAATAACCTCTTTAAATAATAACAAATAATTTTACTGAACATATTAATCACTTGATTTAAAGCCCCAAAATTTCTTCATATTAGTTTCTAAACATCGGAAATAAGGTCTATAATTGAGTTAGTGGAAAGAAGCCACCGGTGACCGCTTGGGGATTGGCCAGTTTAAATAAAATGTATCTGATTGAATTTCTTTTCTCCAATGACACTTTAAACTGCACTACATTTAGTTCTCAATAATTATATTTTTGCTATTTTACACTTTACAAAAAATATACATTGGTAGATTTAATGCTCAGCGGCATTCTCGAACTGTTCGCCTTTTTTATTTTCTTTTTGCTTTCTATATTTTTTTGCCCTACACTAGGATTTTCTCCTGTGTCGTGGGTGCGTTTACAAATATACACGTTCACATACACATGACACCCAGATCAGAAACAACAATTTGTGGATCACACAAAGAGTTGCTCCGTGCGGGAATCGAACCACCGCACCAATCGTGCCGTCAAATTTCATAAAATGATTTAAAAATATAAGTCCTCTGATTGCAGGTCTTATTATTTTTTGTTTATTTCATCTTTGGAACTATTGAACTATTTCTGCACTATCGCCATTCCAGTACAAAGTGAAAGTACTTTGAACCTTATTGCGTAGTAAAAATGTCTAGAATATATTTTATCTCTTTATGATAAGCCGTGTGAAGTTATTGTGATTCATGACAATGGATTCTCATTGTATCAAGCATCAATATTCTATTTTTATACCTACATTGCCATTTGCGTACTGTGTAGGGAAAAAATATGTTTTATTCTTTTACATATCAAAAACATAATAACTAACAGTCCATCTGCACTTCGCAAGACTGCTTGACACTATTTTTCGAATTTCCCAACAATTTATTTTTATACATAAAAAGTTTTTTATAACGAAAACAAACGCAGCAATAAAAATCAATTCCTGAATTTTGTGCTTAGCAATAGGTACATATTACAAAATATTGGAAGCGTTTTACCTACCAATAAAACGCATATTAATTTACTTACCTTATTCGAAGCTTATTTAATTGAGATAGGCCTTCCGCTTCCCTCCTTCCGCTTTTCCTATATGTCTATCTCTTTCTACTACGTCACTTCCATTTGGCAGTGGTGGGGAGGCTTGCTAAGAGAGACTCGCCATTTTTATTTCATTGAGTCTCATTACCAGGCAGAGCTTGACTATAAGCTTCGAATAAGGTAAGTAAATTAATATGCGTTTTATTGGTAGGTAAAACGCTTCCATTAATTTGACTTGACCGTTATTCGAAGCTTATTTAATTGAGACGTGTTTGTTATCGCCTGGTGGAAGTGACAGACGCCAATGTGAGGTAGTATGACTGCGTTGACCGCAGTCGTACTACCTGGTATGATGTGGTAAAATCACAGAATAGAAAAACTAAGAAAAATAGCAAATATCTAAAAACATATACATGTTTTGATGAAAGGTATTGAATAGAAAACCTGTTATTTTTAATTTTTTCAATAATAATTGTATTTGATCTGAACAAAAACAGATGTTATATATTTCTGAGGTATTTTATTGCCTCGTTTCTAATTTTCTAATCGTCTGTATTGAATAAAAAGGTGACATACAAAGGCACACACATCTTAGAAAGGATCGCCTCAAAAGGATAACTATCCACTAAATTTTTTCAGATCACAGCTGATCTGAAACCCTCAGGATATCTTGGGGGATTACTGATATCTTAATATCGGTTACCACCAAGAAGGAACTTTATCCTGACCGCAATTAAATTTTTCTATGTCGGTTTAAGAAATTTGCATTATTTTCAAAATTGACACATAACATCACAGCTTACGCCATTAAGTTATGCCTCTTATGGTATGCTTAGTCCATTGGACTGGATCTGAGCTTTAGAAATTTGGTATACAGGCTGGGTATGGGCCGACTTCGGTGATATATCCCGATTAAATGCTCCCATGGTAGAAATACACGGGCAAAGTCGTGCGTGAAAGCTAATTTATTATTATCCATTTAATCAACAGAATCAGTTTTTGATCTAAAAGCCGACCGAAAAACTAGTACGTCTACGTCATTATGATTATGGTAATTATTAGTATCAATATCGAGGAAAGTTAGGTCATGGAATCTTTTCCTGGAGTATAGGAGAAATGGAACAGCTGTTTGTCTCTGCACTTGAAAGACTATTAATAAGTTTACTGTCTAAGAATCTAGCTAGATCGTTTATGACCCAAACAGGGGGATTGACATGATCAATCACCATTTACAACATGTTTTACACAGTCAGTTAATCTCAAATATAAGTACCTAACTGATGTGTTAGTTCATAAGTTAAATTAATGTTACTGATTGTATAGTTTTTAACAATACATGCTAAACGACATATGGTTCTGGTTAACAAAGGACAGCAACCACAGATTTTTGTGACAAATTTTAATTGTACGACAAATTATTGATTCAATAGAGATCCGATATAGATAAAAATGTAGTCAAAAGTCTTGCTATAGGAGCTGAGGGTCCCCCCCCCCCCCGGTGCGGTGCAACCTTTTGAGGACTGCACTATAGATTTAACGTATTGACGGACGCCATGATTTCTTAAGAGATTTCAATTGTATAGAATATCATTTTAATAGTATTCCAGACATCTCACGTTTCCACACTTCCAAGGTCATGTCGTAGACGCTCGGTGGTGGCCGCCTTGTTCTTAATTAGGACTTTGTCTAGGTGATAAAGCGTAAAGAAGCGGGGTACTATGGCAAGCGAGACACGCCAAAAAACTCGCCCTCATTAAGGAACTACTAGTAGGCACGTTCTGTGTGCTTGATTGAAATAATCCAGGACCTAAGAAATCAAAAAGCTTGGAGAGAACTCCCCCGCTGGGTTTAAAACATTTCCATATGTGGAAAAAACGCGTCGCCAAACAGGGCTTGTCCGTAGTTTTGATATAAAGGCACGTAAATGTCACTACATGTACTCGGTATGACGCAAATAAGTTGATCAGTGGAACTTCGCATATGGAGACCATTTGGTTTGTGCATTCTGCTGACAGCTGGTGCTCTCTAAAGTTTCACAAACCTCAACAGATGATCTGCCTTGACATTGTACATTATATATCTGGTACATGAAATACGTGTATGTTAACGCATATGAACGTATAATGGGAAACGGAGGTTTAAATCCAGGAGTGGAGCCACTTGGTGCCCCCCCCCCTTTTGTAACGGATATATGCGATAGACTTGATGTCGTCCTATATCAAACCAGTCTATTTCAGGATTGGCTACTATGACGATCTTTCTCGTGCTCTGACCAGAGACCCAGGAGAAAGAGATTGCCCAGGTAAGCTCCCTTAGCAATATCTGACACATTGTGCAAGCTGCTGGGAATGAGAAGGTAGAAGTAGCATGTGTAGGACCGACAGAAGATGATAATTCTGGCTCCTCCCACACAAGATTGTTCACATGAGGTAAAATGAAGACCCATCTGCGATCGCCCTTTAAGATTTTATTCTTGTAGGTTCAGAAACGCTTGAAAGTAGAGTCTTTTTCTTGACTAGAGTCTTGAAACTGCAGAAGCAGCAAATATAACTAGGCTCTGGAGTTCTGTGCGTGACTTGCATTTCTTCCGCATTAAATGGCAAAATGACCCCAGAAATTTTACTACCGGGAAAATGTTTGTGATTTGACCATGGATCCCTGGCTTAATGACTTTTGTGTAAATAGCCAAACCAACTTTTCTAGAACATGGAGCCCAATTTTCATACGAAGTCCGAAGTTGGCCTTCGTCCTGATGGCAATAAAAAATCCCGACACCTCATTGTCCCAGTGTCTGGGAAAATCGTAGCAAAAGTATTGGGCGCTGCGCTCATGCCTAATGATAAGCAAGTCATTCGTAGCAATTCGTTGCGATAATTTAGGCACATAAACCTTCCGTGGCTACGGGCCACAGAAAAATAACTCTACGCCTGAGAAATGTCGATTTTGCATAGACAATCAGGTTGTAGAAAATGTGAAATACTATGTGTTTTAACACGTATGTGCATTAACGAATCGGTCAGATGATACATAAATTCTGAATTTCCAAATGGACGATGCGGTCGCCCTTGGACCAGAAATATCAATGGTAGGAAGCTTGGCTGCTCAGTAGCTCGGTCCGTAACTACCTGTTCTGTTATTTTGTTCATGACTGATGTCATTTCTGAACAGAGTGTCAGAGATTCTAGAACAGATGTTTGATGAACAGATGTTCCAGTTCAACAAGTTCGTTCCGACAACATTGGGGTGAACCAGGGTCAGTTTTTGTAAAAAGGGTATGCGATACCTTTTTATTATCATAATCTGACGTTCACAAGTTCCCATCGGTCTACCAATTGCAGGAGACTGTCCGCTCTGTTGTTAATACTTACGTCGTTTGTTGTCAATGCTGCAGCATCAATGACGGGGCGATGATACACGTCTTCGCTCCTGACTTGGCTAATTTTATTCTGCCGAGGATTTGACCAACTCCGACAGATATTCCAATTTTTCGGTGCGACCGAAATATATAAAAACAGCATGAATATGATATAACCACCTTGCGGAGGCGGGTTTATTGCTGTTGTCACCACCTTGCGGAGGCGGGTTTATTGCCGTTGTCACCACCTTGCGGAGGCGGGTTTATTGCCGTTGTCACCACCTTGCGGAGGCGGGTTTATTGCCGTTGTCACCACCTTGCGGAGGCGGGTTTATTGCCGTTGTCACCACCTTGCGGAGGCGGGTTTATTGCCGTTGTCACCACCTTGCGGAGGCGGGTTTATTGCCGTTGTCACCACCTTGCGGAGGCGGGTTTATTGCCGTTGTCACCACCTTGCGGAGGCGGGTTTATTGCCGTTGTCACCACCTTGCGGAGGCGGGTTTATTGCCGTTGTCACCACCTTGCGGAGGCGGGTTTATTGCCGTTGTCACCACCTTGCGGAGGCGGGTTTATTGCCGTTGTCACCACCTTGCGGAGGCGGGTTTATTGCCGTTGTCACCACCTTGCGGAGGCGGGTTTATTGCCGTTGTCACCACCTTGCGGAGGCGGGTTTATTGCCGTTGTCACCACCTTGCGGAGGTGGGTTTATTGCCGTTGTCACCACCTTGCGGAGGCGGGTTTATTGCCGTTGTCACCACCTTGCGGAGGTGGGTTTATTGCCGTTGTCACCACCTTGCGGAGGTGGGTTTATTGCCGTTGTCACCACCTTGCGGAGGCGGGTTTATTGCTGTTGTCACCACCTTGCGGAGGCGGGTTTATTGCCGTTGTCACCACCTTGCGGAGGCGGGTTTATTGCCGTTGTCACCACCTTGCGGAGGCGGGTTTATTGCCGTTGTCACCACCTTGCGGAGGTGGGTTTATTGCCGTTGTCACCACCTTGCGGAGGCGGGTTTATTGCCGTTGTCACCACCTTGCGGAGGTGGGTTTATTGCCGTTGTCACCACCTTGCGGAGGCGGGTTTATTGCCGTTGTCACCACCTTGCGGAGGTGGGTTTATTGCCGTTGTCACCACCTTGCGGAGGCGGGTTTATTGCCGTTGTCACCACCTTGCGGAGGTGGGTTTATTGCCGTTGTCACCACCTTGCGGAGGCGGGTTTATTGCTGTTGTCACCACCTTGCGGAGGTGAGATACTGCTAGCACATTGCGAATGTGTATTAATGTGTTGGAAACCTTGAGCAAAAACCCTGCGAGGGCTTTGTAAGGCTGTGGCCCCTGCGACGGGCCTCGAAACTTTTGGATCTACCTGCGAGGTAGATGTAATATTTACCTTTTGCAATGGCCAAAAACATTTTCTCACGCCACCAGCTTATTCTACAGCGGCAGTAAACCTCTATGCGCTCTTAGTATTAGGAGAATCTCAGAACGATGTCCGCAAACAATCTGTAATAAAGCTTAAGACTAGGTACTTACTAAAATCCCCTGTGGAAAAAGGGTACTTTTGAAGTAGCATATCACATGTAGCAGTTAGCAGTTTGAAGGGTTCCGAAAATCCCGTGTTAAAGTGCACACAATATTCAATCAAGTATACCATTAACTTTAAACTCAAACTTAATATCAAAGCAACAAAATATATAATAGGAACGCACTTCGGTTCTATATTTGCATAGTCATCTCACTTTTGCAAGATAATTAGGTACAACAGACAAATAACTGTGCAATATTATTAACAGTCGAACAGAACCTTCGTTCTTTGTTCGTATAGTGGTACAAATCCACCCGATTTTCTGAGCAATAGCTATAGCATAGGGTATCGCGTCAGCAATTCCACGTATGCAATATACAGTCCAAGACTGTACCGAATTAACCAACAGTTCTGTTGGGAGCACAGCTCTTGAGTTTTATCCGAAGACACACTTTGATAGACATACAATTTCAAAACAATTTATCAGGTCATCAACATCAAAATAATATTCTTATAAATTTTCAATAACATTAGACAGAAATGCATGGTCCAAAATGGTACTCACGTACAAACAATCTATTGCTAAAGGTTACGTACCTGTTTAGATAGTTTTCGAAACTTACGTTTAGATCGACACTTCCATACGAAGAAGTGTTCAGGAACAACATGAATAATCGCAATTATTACCTGAGTTTTCCATAATAGATAACGAAAGAATAATCTTTATTTAATTTAAAATTTTTACAATTGTAATAAAAACCGTTAGGACATTTATCACTTTTATAAAAAAGAAATAATAATAAAATCGGAAGGTAGTTTCACAACTTGTAAATGGTTGTCTTGTGACTCGCAAGGCACAACCGTTTACGGCGGGAAACAAGACGCCAATGAAATAAAAATGGCGAGTCTCTCTTAGCAAGCCTCCCCACCACTGCCAAATGGAAGTGACGTAGTAGAAAGAGATAGACATATAGGAAAAGCGGAAGGAGGGAAGCGGAAGGCCTATCTCAATTAAATAAGCTTCGAATAACGGTCAAGTCAAATTAATATTATTGTTTTTATTTACTTAACACGTTAAACGCCATGGCAGTCACTGGTGACCGACATTAGCGGAGGATTTGCCCTCAATAGTTTTTTATTGGCAGCCAATGCCTTAAATAATAAGATGATTCAGTAGCTGTACTTTTTAATTTTCGTTACTTGAAAAACAATATGATGCAAACAACACTTACTACAATAACATTCTCCGCTAGAGGGTGTTAATCTTAAAAACATATAAACAAAGTATGTCAGTGGGTGACCAATTACACGTACAACACAGCATGTGACAGATTATATATTTTGCCAGTACATTGACCCCATTCAAATCACAAGTATACCTATGTGCGTTTTTGTACAAGCGTTAATGCTTTTCAGAGTGCCCACTAGTGTCCCTAGGCTCCATACTTTTTAGCCGCCCTAATTTAGAAGTAGTAGAAATTAAAATAATACGTTAACTATAACGATATAAAACTTATTTTCGAAAATCATATTAGTTGGTTCAATTTATGTGATATTAATAAATATTATCTTTGACATTTACGAACGAAGCTATCAAGGGCGTCCATTCGGTAGACGGATGAAGTAACGTCACAGGATCTATTTTAGGAACTTTTATGTTAATCGAGTTTGGTACTACAGATAACGAAAACAAGTTGTTAACTAGTTAATCATACGACATAACGTTATGCTTTTTAATCACCGAAGGGATAGGCAGAGGTACACATAATATACAAAGTAACAACCAATTTTCACCAGTTATATTATTTTTGTCTGTCTGCCTCAATTGTCGAATGGTCGCAAGTGCGACTGCCGGGCCTAGGGGGTCTATGGTTCGATTCCCGGGTCGAGCAAAGTATTGCTAAGTTTGTAAAAAAATATTCATGACATAAATACAAAGATTTGACCTGTGATTTCTCCTTTTCCAGCGCGGAATGCAAAATAGAGCTGGTAAAAAGTAACTTTACATCACTACACAGTATAAAACAAAGTTGTTATCCGCAGTCTGTCTGTCCCTATGTACGCTTACTTATCTTTAAAACTACGCAACGGATTTTGATGCGATTTTTTTAATAGATAGAGTGATTCTTAAGGAAGATTTATATGTATAATACATGCATATTGCACCCGTGTGAAGCCGAGGCGGATCGCTAGTTAAATATAAAATAACTAGGTTTGTGCTGAAGACCGATGATGACGACCGATTACCTATTACAAATTTTCGACCTTGAATTTATACCACATATGGCTTCATTAATATACGCCCACAAAAACATCATGATGCATAAGGACTGTGTATGAGTAACTTACTAAAAAATAATGTTTCCGTATCCGCCAGCCGATGTCGTGCAGAGGACCCTTTAGCTCGAACCTACCTTCGCCCCGCAGAGCGATCGACACAGTCTGAAGAGCTTGTTCTGTAACAAATATTTAAGTTTAGAACCCGGTTTTATTATCACGTTACGCAAAGTAATGGGAATTTATGAGGCAATGACCTTTATCAATAAATGTGCATCAAGTCTATAAAAGACACAATTTTGACTTAACGCTTCGATTCCTGATAGGTAACAGGATCTTCTTTTTTCAAATTACAAAATCCCAGTTTCAGGCAATTTAGAAAAGAAAGAAAGAACGAATAAGCATTTATTCCGCACCAGCCACGATGCAGCATAAATAAAATATAAAAAAGACAATAAATAATAGTGTGACAGTATAAAATAACATAACATCACGCCTTTTTATCCCCAAAAGTGTAGGCAGAGGTTCATACTGCGACACTTAATGACACAGTACAATATAACACCCATTTTCACTATTTATTTTATGAGCCTCATGTAATAGGGGGTAAGCCTATTGCTATATACCAGGCACATTTCCAGACTCCGTGCTACTACTGAGATTTTTAAAAACCCAGTAATACTTTGCCCGACCCGGGAATCGAACCCGTGACCCCTTGCCCAGCAGTCGCACTTGCGACCACTCGGCAATCAAGGCAGTCATTGATGTAGGCAACGAGGCAGTGTGACAGTAAGAGTAAGATAAAACAGAAGACAAAGAACAAAGACAGTGAGTAAAAAAATTAAATAGATCAGAAAAGAAACGCTAAATGGGTTGTCCACAACCTCTTAATGTTCACATAAAGAATATACCAGTGAAGCTGTTTATAATGCATATTCCTTTCAAGTTTCTATGAACAAAACAGCTATGTTTTATCCATCAGGTAATCACATTCGCAGAGACTTATAGATTTTGATTGATAATTGATTGCTTTAAATTAGTTAGTCACATGACAATGTACATTCTCTTAGTATTCCTATATCTATATGTATAAAGTTCAATATTATTCAATTGACCAATTTATTGAGCTAGCAATACAAAGTATGATTATGAGAATTCAACAGTAGCAGATCATGTGCAGCCTTGACCAATAAGTATTGGTTTGCATTAACATGATAATATTACCGAAGGTAAACTAAAATCATGGTTCACTTAAGTAAAACATAATATATTTTAGTTAATTTAACATAGCAAATTGACTGACTGCCTGACATGGCGCAAGCGTGAGGTTTAAGTAAAAGATCTCCTGTTTGGATCTTGGATTGGGCAAAGTATGTCTTGTGTTTATCAATTTTGGTTTTAGTAAAATTCTCAGTATTAGCAGCCCCAATACACCTAAGTCTACAACCCATGTGCTAAGCCTGGTTATGGTTAGCCTTCTTATCAAAGGGGCATATAGTTAACAGTGAACTGTCATACTCATAGGCTCTTAATATGGTATGGCACTACGGGCTTCCTTCTGGTGAAGGGACTTAAAACATAAATGAGTGCCTACTATTACTAACTCTTTGAAAAAAAAAATATATGTAATTGTTTATTTACCTGCTATATCCAATGAGTAGTTACTAGGATCCAGGAAACTTCTCACTTGCAATGATAAAGCTAACACTTCGTGTTTCAATACCTCATTTATGTAATTCTGAAATAAAATATTGCATTTAGGGCCTGATTCACAATGTCGGAATAAGTTGCTGTTACTTTAACTTCTTGTTTGTATTGCATACGGAAAATAATTTACTTATAAAGAAAAACAAACACATTTGCATTTACAATATTATCATTTTTTTATTAATAAGAATAAAAAGATATAATAATTAATTTATCTCTAAGTATATAAAAGAAAGTTGTGTTAGTCACACTATTTATAACTCAAGAATGGAACTCGTCAACTACCGTCATTATAGACACAATTATAGAACAATAGATTGCGGTCACCGGTGACCGCTTGGTGTATGACAGTTTAATCGATTTGGCTGAAAATTGGTGGGGAGGTAGCTTAGAACCAGGAGACGGACATGGTATATTTTTAGTCCAAGGAATTTTCGGGAACAGAAAAGAACGGAATTGCGCGTACGAAGTCGCGGCCAGAATGTAGTAAATAAATAAAATCATAATTATGAGTAACAGGATACCAGGAATACAAGTTGCATGGGGAGTAAAATATTAGGTGTTTCCTTAATGAATCATTCATTCACATTTGCAATAATTTTAAGAGCTAAGTTCAGTACTAGTCTGAATTCAATTATGAGTATTTTATAATGTACAGAGATTGGCACAAATATTTCACTGAAACATTATTATGCAAATGATTTTTGTATTGTAAATTTGTAACTATCATAAGACACACTAAATTAATTATTATGTAGCCAGTTAGCATTACCATAGTCACCATATCATGCCGCAGAATGCAGCTCATGATTATGAGTCAATTTTTCGTAAAACTGTTATGTGAATAAGCCGAAAAGCAACAATTAACAAATGATTCAAATTTTTATCAAAATATTCAAGTTTCCTTGTAAATATTGTGCAATATTATAAAAAACAGTAGCTTTGATACAGACAGCCACAATATCAGGTTTCATTAGTGGATGAACTTGACACAATCTGCATAATAGACTAATTAGTATTAAAATATTAAGTCTTCTACCTCACAATCACAACATGGAAGAGGCTTATGTGCAGCAATATACATAATATTAAGGTCTGTTTAAAGGAGTTCACAGTATAATAAGATGGAAAGAAAAAGGAGTTCAAACCTGTAATGCTATTTGTCTCTCAGCTATAAAGGCTGGCTGCATGTTACCAATAAGTTTCTTTGGTGGTAGAGGCAGGTCAATGTTGGCCTGAACAAGACCTGCGTGTAGGGCAGCAAAGTCCCTATACCGACGGGACACATTCCAGCTGATATCTTTTGTAGGACCGCGCTGAACACGTAAAATATACTCCTGCAACAAAATGCAATTTTTATACCCATAATACACTTGAAATAACATGAATAAGCAACATGGTAATATAATGATTGTAACTGTGTATTTTTAAAACGCCCAAGATAATGATTTCCGCAGAAATCATATGACAAAACAACACCCCAAAAATTTGTTTTTGTTTATGATTAGCGGTTTTTATTAAAGCTTTTTACCAACTGATGTTTAGGATGATGAATTAAGAGGTCTCCGCAACAGACCGTAAGATATTTTAAGAAAAAAAACTATTACTTACCGTGTGTTTATTAATGTTTTGTGCATTTTCTACGGAACAGCTGAGTTTTTCAGTATCATCTATTAGAGCTTTGGTATGCGAAGTTTTTTCAAATATAGCCATTGTGCCCGGTATTTAAAAAACATTAGTCGCTAACACAATAAGATAAACACCATTAAACATTTTGCTATCACTAAATAATGTAAAAGAAATTGCGAATCGTATCAATCACTGAATTTAGTCATGTGTATTCCAGAGACATGTGACATTTACAGAACTCTGTGTAACTCTTCTTATCTTCTTAAAATTACGAGAAAGAAAATTCTTGATGCTAAATATAAACAACAACACAGCATAGGAACGAAACGAAATTGACATTGACATTTGACTGCATTGACTCTGTAGCCGCTGCTGTCATCATAATGACAATGACAGTGTGGTGTTGTGCCGTTGTAGTCGAGTTTCAGCTACAAGCTACGAGCAAAACGGGATAGCATAAAAATTGGCCCTGTTCATCCCTTATTTTCTATTTACCTTACTTTTTCAAAAGCTATCTTGCGTCATAAAGTCGTAAATCATTTATTTCAAAATTATATTTTATACATTTTGGAACCTGTTCATAGACAGATTTAAAATTTTTGCCTACCTAACTTCCGTTTTAACATACGCTCTGAAACTTAAATTATACAAAATACTTCTTCGAATTTATATAAGTAGGACAAGAAATGAGTCCTTTACTATCATGAAATATTTTCAAAATATTTGAAATTATTGAAAATATATTTTTCTGTGTTATTTACTAATTATTATTTGAAAGAATCAGCTAATGGTATGATAAATTTGATACAGTTTTTGAGCGCACTCCGAACTGCGGACATAACCATAGACATCGATCGAAAAAGTCACTTCCTGTTCTACCGCAACGAGTCGCGAGCGGAGAACTTCGACTACCACGGGCCTCTATCTATTCGTCTGCCATAGTTATAAGAATTCGTAAAACATGTCGCTCATCTCAGCCCGTATTGCCGGCTCAGTAGCCAGGCGTTTACCCAATGCAGCTTCGCAGGTAACTATGTTTTAGATAACGAACAAGGAGTGTGTTAAAATCCGAAATTGATAAAATTCTACCGGGTTCCTATCTCGAGGAATGTCCACGGGTTAGGAATCGTCAGATGTTAATATTTAGTGATTATTAGCCAGTTATATAACAATAAGTTACCATAAATGACCATTCCAGTTAATATTTTACAAATGATTGCTTATTACATTAATCTGTTGTGTATGATCGGTGTTATGTAATACGGGGCGATTCAGTATTCAGGTCTTCAGAAATATGAAATTAGTGAAATAAAGTAGAAAATGTTTAGTGAAATACGTAAAGGAGTGTATTTGTGACCGTTTAGTGCGATAATATGATGTGAAATGTGTTGATGTTGGTTATGTCCGTCGGCAGGTATCGAAGGTCGCGGGTGTCGCGGCACCCGCTGTGGCAGTTGCCTCGCGCAACTTCCATGTATCTCCCACCCAGAAGGCCGCCGAAATCTCCACTATTTTGGAGGAAAGGATCCTGGGTGCCGCTCCCAAGGTTAGTATCAATGTTACATAAACGTCTTCTTATCAATTAGTATCAGTACACGGGTAATTGAAAAACACAGAGTTATGCAAGGAACAAGATGTCCTATCAGGAAGATGGTATTGATCCATGACCTATTTCTTTGATACACAGTTCATTCACACTACATGCATAATATCCTGCATTGCCTACATTCAATGACATAAGAGGACTGCCAAAATTGGAACATGTTTATTTATTAGAACCAAATCTTATATGATTCCTTTTCAACAACAAGCAAATTCTTATTAATATTTCAAAAAATTTTTGGGACTTGGTCTTGCTAATATATTGACCATATTCCAGTTAGACCAATAATTAAATAATGAATAATATTTTCAACAATCTATCAATAATGAGTTGACCTAAGTACCTAACCTAACAGCTGATTACATCTGACATAAATTTGAAGAAAAAAAAAATTTAGTTATTACTTAACCTCTTGTCATAACTTGCATACTTGTAGTTAAACTCATGTGTATAGGTATGTATGTGAAATAACTAACAAGTTTAATTTAATGCAATTTTTTTTTTCTATTTAGGCTGACTTGGAGGAGACTGGCCGTGTATTGAGCATTGGTGACGGTATTGCCCGTGTCTATGGTCTGAAGAACATCCAGGCCGAGGAGATGGTGGAATTCTCCTCTGGTCTTAAGGTGGGTTTATTTTTTTAATATTCTAATAGTAATCTTGTATATTGGAATAACTAGGTGAGGTAAGTGAGAGATGTAGGATAGCTTAAAATATTGGATATTGGATTGCCTAATCAATGAAAAGGAAATGAATGGATTAGAAAAATCGCACAAGATTTACCATCAAACTTAATTATTCTTTATAGATGTTAGGAACATATTGATTTGCTACTTTTCTCTAGGCTTTGATGTAATAATTGGAATTTATTAATTAACATGTTAGCTAGAATATGAGTACCCACTCATATTCTGAATGATATGACATTGCTATAAAAGTTATAGGAAAGAACTTTGGAATATGTCCCTATTGTTTGTGTTAAGTTATTATATCAGTTTTGCCTGAGATCTGCAATAAAACTAATTTTCTACCCTCTCAACAACATCTATAAGAACAGCTTTCAGATAAAAAAATTATTTAGGTTTGCAGGTAACAGAAACTGCTAAGGAAAAGTGAAGAAATTGTTGCTTACTTGTTTTTTTCTCTAGGGTATGGCCCTCAACTTGGAGCCTGACAATGTGGGTGTGGTAGTATTCGGTAACGACAAGCTGATCAAAGAAGGAGACATCGTCAAGCGTACCGGTGCCATCGTCGACGTGCCCGTCGGTGAACAGCTGCTCGGTCGCGTAGTCGACGCTCTGGGTAACGCCATCGACGGCAAGGGCCCCATTGCCACCAAGAGCCGTATGCGTGTCGGTATCAAGGCTCCCGGTATCATCCCCCGTGTGTCTGTGCGCGAGCCTATGCAGACTGGTAAGTAGTTGTTACATAACTAACATTTTTGGGGTACTCTAGAAATCATTGTAATAATTTGAGAAAAAGGATCAAAGTTTAGAAAAGGTCTGTCTCGTTTTATTACGTAATCATTAGGATTAAAAGAATTGAACTAAATGGGTCTTATCTATTCATTAAAATCTTCACATAATTTCATATAGGGGAAAATTTATATTTCGCATTTCAACATCTTTGCGAAATTACATAGGTATCAAGGCCGTCGACTCTCTGGTACCCATTGGTCGTGGACAGCGTGAGCTGATCATTGGTGACCGTCAGACTGGCAAGACTGCTCTGGCCATCGACACCATCATCAACCAGCAGCGTTTCAACAAGGGACAGGATGAGAAGAAGAAGCTGTACTGTATCTACGTCGCCATTGGACAGAAGAGGTCCACCGTCGCTCAGATCGTGAAGAGGCTGACTGACGCTGGTAAGCATATATAAATTCTGCTGAAACTACTTGCAATCTTCAAAGTCAAACTTTATTACTATTGCTGACTTCCCACTCATACATAGTTGTAATTTTGAATGTTACAAAATATATCTACAAATATTTTAACAGGTGCCATCAACTACACCATCATTGTGTCCGCCACCGCCTCCGACGCTGCTCCCCTGCAGTACCTGGCTCCCTACTCTGGCTGCGCCATGGGAGAGTTCTTCCGTGACAACGGCAAGCACGCTCTTATCATCTACGACGACTTGTCCAAGCAGGCTGTTGCCTACCGTCAGGTATAGAAAAAATAGTTACAGTTACTAAAAAGTAATAGAAAGTGTTCAAAGTAAATTGAGCCTAAAATCTTATTAATTATTAATTTTGTTATCTGTTTTGACACTGTCTTTGAAAACTTTCCTTGTGTTATGCAGATGTCTCTGCTGCTGCGTCGTCCCCCGGGTCGTGAGGCCTACCCCGGTGATGTGTTCTACCTCCACTCTCGTCTGCTCGAGCGTGCCGCTAAGATGTAAGTATATGTTTATAACGTCACAAATAAATCTGTTGTACGCAGGTGGAAATGAGTAAATTAATGTTGTGTTGACTAGTAAATATTTATTGTATAAGAATTCCTCATTTTAGAATTTTTTCAGAATCGTGATTTTTTTAAATAGCTAATATAATCATGCTTTCAGGTCCGACAAGATGGGTGGTGGTTCCCTGACCGCCCTGCCCGTCATTGAGACCCAGGCTGGTGACGTATCTGCCTACATTCCCACCAACGTGATTTCCATTACTGACGGTCAGATCTTCTTGGAGACTGAGCTCTTCTACAAGGGTATCCGTCCCGCCATCAACGTCGGTCTGTCTGTATCCCGTGTAGGATCTGCTGCCCAAACCAAGGCCATGAAACAGGTAAGACATCAATTTTGAAATAACCTTTTATCTCTGTCAAAACTTAAACAAAATAATGAGCAATAGCTCATTAGTTGTTAAGAAATTTGAAATGATACATTATATAGATTTATATGTATTTAATACTTGTTCACCAGGTGGCTGGTTCCATGAAGCTGGAGTTGGCCCAGTACCGTGAGGTCGCTGCTTTCGCTCAGTTCGGTTCCGACTTGGACGCCGCCACCCAGCAACTGCTGAACCGTGGTATGCGTCTGACGGAGCTGCTGAAGCAGGGACAATATGTGCCCATGGCCATTGAGGAACAGGTAATTTATGCATTACCCGAAAATGCAGCAAGAATTCGTAAGATTTTCTGTAATGAGTCTTACCTCCGTACTCAGACTCATTTAATAGCTATTTAACTCGTCGAGTACCGGTTTTGTAGACACAATTATAGAACAATAGGTTGTGGTCACCGGTGACCGCTTGGTGTTTGACAGTTTAACCCAGTCCTTAACAATTGTTTTCGAAACAAAATCGTTACTAAGGAATAGCTTAAGTAATCATTAAATCTCTCTGAGTATCGCAGATAGTCTTCAACATTAAGTACTAAATTTCGTAATTTATTTCGACAGGTCGCCATCATCTACTGTGGTGTCCGTGGTCACCTCGACAAACTTGACCCCAGCAAGATCACTGGCTTCGAGAAGGAGTTCACCCAGCACATCAAGACCAGCCACCAGAGTCTGTTGTCTACCATCGCCAAGGACGGTCAGATCACCCCCGAGTCTGACGCCGCCCTCAAGAAGATCGTTACAGACTTCCTCGCTACCTTCACCCAGGCGGCGCAATAGACGTCTAGCTTTTACGAACTCTGGCTTTGACAAGAGATTGTGAGTCGCATTTAGGACAATTCATCTAATCCCTACGTAGCGCAGTCTCATGTCAAACACC